TCACGATCGTCTATATATATTAGATAATATCTTTATACTTGTACATTTTCATGGGTTCCAACTGGATCTTATTGTAAGACCGCAAAAGTCTTCGGATCGGATGAAAAGAGGGGCATATCATTAATCTAAAGTTACTGAATTTTTTAAAGAAGCATTCTCGACCTCGCGGGAAAAAAAATCAATGTTGCCTAGCCAACCAGGTCGACCACAACGTAACCGCAAAAAAACGGGAGGTGGAACCGTCCGGCTCCCCACCGAGTCGTCGTCCTCGAGGGAGCGATCGCCATGGAGGTCGGATCCGCCCTGGCGCTGCTCCTCCTGCTGCGACACGCCGGATCCACCGATTTCGCCTATTATGATCTAGTGCAATCCGGACAGAGATCTTCAAACGTGCGGACGGAAACTCACGGATCGACGCTCGTAACTTGCATCATCCTTTGCGCCAGGGAGAGCCCCGGCCCTTGCCACGGCTTCAACTACCGTAAAAGCGACCGCCGGTGTCAACTGATTCTTCCTGGAAATGACCTCCTCGCGCCATCCGATGGATTCTGGACTTTCGTCTTGAGTGAGTCGAAATCACCGCAATTTCGCCTAGACAGGCTTGAGTATGCGAACGGTCATTTCAATCTTCTCTCATCCAGTTGAAGGCATTGCTTCTTCTTCGCGTGCTTGAAGTGACGGTTACGCATTACGCAATTCAACGCGTAAAGGACAACCAAGATTGTTGCTTTCGGTCGTGAAAGTAATCGATGACGCATCATGAATCCTATCGGTGTAGCCATGATTTTTTAATATGACATATGAGTAATAAAACGTGAAATATATCCAGAAATGTATATAACAACTGGCAGGTTTCCATTTCCTTTCGTAGAGGAATTCGATATAATGCACCGATAGTGATCCATAGCGTCTCGGGACACACAAGTTTCCAATCCGCAGACGAGGAACAGCACGCGTATCCAGAATGTCTGCTGACGGAGAAGGGCAGGGAATACGTCGGAAGAACGAACGTGACGGCATCGGGAAGGGAATGCCTGACATGGGCCGACATGCCCTATGGACTCCCCAACGGTTTTTTATCCATGGAGCACTGGGAGAACTTCCTCGACCTGAATGCCTCGTCCCAACACAATCACTGCCGGAACCCGACCTGGAGGGAGGGACCCTGGTGCTTCGTCTCCGATCCTAACATCCAATGGGAATACTGCGACATCCCGATGTGCACTGACTTGGGTAAGGCATTTTGTTGGAGGACTGCGGATCGCAAGACAACGGGAAGGCAGCATGAACCGCGATTAAACATTTAATTTGCTCATTACATTCCTTGTAGGATTTTCCCAATCTGTGAAACAGCCCATTATTTTACACCTTCTTAGCTTGTAGGCGAGATGCGACTGAGAAATTTCCCTCAATTTCGAATGCACATTAAACTAATCTGAATATCCTATTCATACTATACATAAAACAATTCCATGTAATAGCCATTTTAATTATTAAGATAAATGCTCCTTGAGGTGAAGTTTCTTCGAAAATTTTCCAATCGCAACGATATACTCAACGTGGCTGTGCCGACTGGCAATTCGCAATTCTGAAATTCTGAATTTTTCTTCAAATAATCAAAGCAATTGGGATTTTCCTGTTCATTTCCCGCTCTCTGTGTCTTTGCACTTAGATGAATAAAAAAAGGCACAATTTCAAAACGTCCTCCAGAGTGACTACGGTCCGAGGGCGTATACTTCGAAATTCGGAATTTTTCTGCACTTTGCATCCTAACAGCTAGTTGCATACTAAGTTTCAGATGCATAACGCCTGTGGAATTTGATAGGAAATATCTTCAGTCCGTCACACTCGTTCTACAGATCCACCGGAATTCAAACTGAGCAGCAAGGGAAGAGAATACGTGGGGAAACGGAGCGAGTCGATTTCCGGGTTACCGTGTGCGCCTTGGCTCAGCCACATCGAGAGCAGCGAACACCTCCTGCCAGGATTTTCGGACGACGTGGACGCGAGCCACAGGTTCTGTCGCAATCCCAACGGCCACCCCCACGGTCCTTGGTGCTACGTCGACGCAGACTACGGACCCGAATGGGAATATTGCGACGTTCCTTTCTACTCTGAAGCCCATGGGGAACGATGCGACGTTCGCATCGGAGGCAATTGCATTGGTAAGTATCACTCTCTTAATTTTTT